TTGTGGTGATAAATGGTACAATTCTGTGACTATACTAAAAATCATTGAACTATACAATGTAAAGGTGTATTTTATGGTATGTAGGTTATATCTCAATAAAGCCTATTTTTGAAAAAAGCCTTATGGGTGTATATTCCATTTATTAACTAATGACTTATTTAATACTCACAAATACCCCTTGAGGTCAGTGCTTATTATCTCTATTTTATAGATGAGGAAATTGAGGTACAGTGAAGAAAGCAGGAAAGGAGCAGGAATAATTTTTAATTGAAACAAGAGGAAGAGATATAAGATAATGTAGACAAAGGTATTTTTGGTGGCTGACCATCAAGAAGTTGAGAGAATTTCTGTATTATGTTTCATTTAATTTTTCCCCCTTGAAGTAGGAGATGAGCTCACATGCAAAGAGTCTGTGTGGGAAAGGGTGGAGGAGAATAATTAACTTTGGGAAAGTGGGTAAATCTCAGAACAGCTAAGCTGTTCAAACACAAGTATTATAGACAGATTTCTGAGAAGCATTGAGGAGACTGTGAGGCTGCAGACCACAGATTTAAATGAGTCCAACACTCAGGGCTATGATATTTTCTCCAGCAATGCTTGAATGCTACGAGGTAGGAGAAATGGGAGTGGATTGGATGGATTCATGGTTGGGGAATTTTTAACAGGGTAGGGCTAGGTTGGTATGGGTTCAAGTAACAAAGTGATCTGATAGAACCAGGGAGTCCTGACTGGATGTGGAAGAAAGAGAGGGCTGGGAAGGCTCCCAGCCAGGGCAAATAACGTAGGTGAAAGGAATGAAAGTCTACAGCTGGTGGAGAATAAGAGTAGCAGGAGCAAGAACAGAGAGTGCTTAAGGATGGAAGAGTAAGTAAGGAGCTGCGTGTATAGGAAACTTTTAACAGCCAGTTTTCTAGGAGAAAAGCCCTGACTTGTAGGGTTATTGCTTTCCATGGAAGTGGTATAGATACTGTCGCACTTACCTAGCCAGCAGGACCCTATGCAGCTGCTGGAGACCAGCGCAAGACTACAGTTCTATGGAACGACCTTCCTCTCTTCCTCTCAAGTTTGCCTCCTCTTTTTGAGAGAACCTACCCCCCACCCCACCCCGCCTCCCATTTCTGCAGATGGTCTGTGTTCAGGGAGCTGAGCGAAGGTCTGACTCACTGCCTAGTGCACCCAAACACCATTGCCACTCCCAGAAAAAAAAGATCATGAGTGCTGAAACCATGCTGCTCTTGCCTTGCAGGTGGCTGTGCTGTAGGGCCCAATGGATATAAATGGGTCCCTAGGGGAAGGTTAATAATTGGACACCCCTTCAAACTACCTTTAAAAATCACCTCTACTTAGTGAGGGCAGGAAATAATGAATTTTCTATTAACTATTATAGATGTTATATTAAATTCTTTCCTTATACTACAAATAAGTTGCCTAGTTTTGTTGAGTCCCAGACAAGTTTGGGGTTTAAATTTAATATGATAAAGTTAATAACTTTTTTCTTTGAACATAATACTTTTTCACGTAGCATTTGGCTTCAGAATGTTAGCCATCTTGGCTTGTGGAGGATTGTCAGCTGGCTGCTCCTGGTTGTGGAGTGTACGTAGCCTTTTGATGATTTCTGAAAAATACTCACTAGCAACAGGTCACCTGTAGGAGTTTGTTTCCTTTAAAAACGTTTTGTTTTTCCACATGAGAGCATTGTCTGCTTTGGTTTTGGCAGTTCTGTAAGGACACATTTCCCATCTTTCCCATTGATACTTAGTTTCCTTTGTTGATCTGTTTAACCCTCCTGCACCTAGGAATGTCAGGCTACAGTTTTACATGATTGCTGAGCATGGTGCAATTCCTTGCCTCATGGAAAAGGAGAAATGGATAGTACCTCTCCTCTAGCACTTGAAAACAACCTGTACCTCCAGCCTGAGCCAAACAATCTATTTGGTGGCCAGGCATAAATGGTCAACAGTGCCATCCATAGACCCTGGCAGGGCTTGGTGACTGGAAATTTCTAGTTTCAAGGTTTACTGGGTGCTAGCCAGTTTCTGAGGATTTTTGAATAGATACATTCACTACAAATAGCAGGGACATCTGGTACCATGTCCACAACTTCCTGTGGCTATTGTCCTCGGATCCCTTCAACATTTTTAATTTTCATTTTCATGAAATCTACTCTTGAATCTCTTTACTTTTAGTCCCTGTGTGTCTTTCAATCTGACCTGGGTCTCTTGTAGACAGCATAGGTATGGTCTTGTTTTCTTTTCTTTTCTTTTCTTTTCTATTTTTTTTTTAAGATTTTTATTGGGGAATCGGGGAAGGGGAACAGACAAGTTGCTGTTGTCCTTTTTTTCTTCAGTCTAGTTGTGGAGGATGTTGCTTCACTGGCCCATATTGGTATTATCATTGTGCTCTTCCCAGGTGAGGCAGATCGGTTGCTGGCCTCTGGATGGCTGCTGACAGAAGCTCTTGGCAGCTCACACTGGCTGTCGGCCGCTCACGCTGGTTGCCGGCCATGCACGGTAGCTTATGGCAGCCCACTGCAGCCCCACTGCAGCCTATGCTGTCGCGGGCGACTCACGGCAGCCCAGCTCCAGGTTGAGCTGTTGTTCACCATCTTAGCTGTAGAGGGCAGTGTCACTGGCCCTCATGTGGGATCTGAACCTGGGCTCTGCTGCTCAGAGCTGGTGTCCCAAGCCAACTCTTAGCCAACGTGCCACTCGGCCAGCCCTGGATCTTGTTTTCTTATCTGTTCAGCTACCTTGTGTCTTTTGATTGGAGCATTTAATCCATTTACATTTGAGGCAATTGTTGATAGATATACATAGTTATTACCATTTTAATATTCATATTTATGTTCTCTCCACCCCCCCTTTTCTTAAAGTCCCTCTAGCATCCCTTGTAATACTGGTTTGGTGGTGATGAACTCCTTCAGTTTTTTCTTGTCTGGAAAACACTTCATCTGTCTTTCAATTTTAAATGAAAGAGTTGAAGGGTACAGTAGTTTTGGTTGCAGACTCTTGTTTTTCCTCACTGAATATTTTGTGCCAATCCCTTCTGACCTGCAAAGTTTCTGTTGGAAATCAGCTCACAGTCTGATAGGAGCTCCCTTGTAGGTAACTAACTGCTTTTCTCTTCCTGCTTTTAAGTTTCTCTCTTTGTCTTTAACCTTTGGCATTTTAATTATGATGTGTCTTGGTGTGGTCTTCTTTGGGTTCATCTTGTTTGAGACTCTCTGTGCTTTCTGGGCTTGTATGTCTATTTCCTTCACCAGGTTAGGGAATTTTTCTGTCGTTATTTCTTCAATTCCTTGCTCTCTCTCTTCTTCTTCTGATACCCTTATGATGCAAATATAGGTACTCTTGATGTTGTCACAGAGGCCCCTAAAACTATCCTGCATTTTTTTGTATTCTTTTTCTTTTTGCTGTTCTGATCAGATGTTTTTGCTTCCTTAACTTCTAAATCACTGCTTCAATCCTCTCTTTCATCTAATGTATTGTTGATTTCCTGTAATATATTCTTTATTTCAGTTATTGTATTCTTCATTTTTGACTGGTTCTTTTAAAATAATATCTATGTCCTTTTAAATGCTTGCTATCTCTTTATCAAAGTTCTCACTAAGTTCCTTGAGCATCCTGGTAACCATTCTTTTGAACTCTGCATCTGGTAGATTGCTTACCTCTATTTTATTTAGTTCTTTTTCTGGAGTTTCCTCCTGTTCTTTCATTTGGGACATATGCCTTTGTTTTCTCATTTTGGCTGCCTCTCTGTGTTTGTTTCTATGTATTAGGTAGATCAGTTACATCTCATAACCTTGGTCAGGTGACCATATGTAGTAGGTGTCCTGTGGGGCCAGGTGGTGCAGTCTTTCTAATCACCTTTGCTGGGTCCTCCAAGAGTGTCCCTTGTGTGCGCTGTGTGTTCTCTCCTGTTGTAGTTGAGCCTTGATTGCTATGGGCTCATTGGTGGGTCAGATTGACCCTCAGGCTGACTGGCTTTGGGTTTGGCCATGTCCACAGCCATGGGCTGCTATCTGTGGGGGCTTACCCTATGGTTGGGGATTTGTGCCAGTGGGCCCTGATGCCTGCTGAGACTGCCCTTTGAGTGTACTACTTGTTGAGCTAATTGGATGTTGCTCTGCCATGGTCTGAAGCCAGACTCTAGATATGTTGGTTCTGGGGCTCTGGTACAGGCCCAGGTCAGCCATTAGTTGTGATCGGCCTGGGACTACATGGTAGAAGCCACAAAATGATCTGCAGTTGGTTGATGGCTTTGCTGGACCTAGATGTGTGTGGGAGAGGCCATGCTGTGAACCGAGGATAGCTGCCACCTGTACCTGGCTTGGGGTAGCTCTCCAAAAGGCCTAGGGCACCCCAAGGCCTGCTGCATCCTGATGACTGCCTGTAAGGCTCAGCCACGGATAGAGCCTCATGTGATATTCAAGTTGGGTGAGTCATGGTCTCAGGGACTCACAGGGTGGGCCAAGTGATGTTCACCAGGTTAATGTAGATTCTGGTTTGATGCCAGTGCTGAACCTGGAGCTTCTTGCTTAAGGCTCAGAGCATACAGAGACAAGCTGCAGCCTGCCTGAGACCCACCAATCCCCGAGAATTGTCCAAGAATGATTGTAGCATGGGCCAGGGATGGCTGCTGGCCAGGAAAGTGCCTTCAGCTTTGTGTGAGTTGGGTGGGGGCAGTGTCCCAGGGAGTCACCAGGGAGGAGCTAGCAGAGTTTACCAGGCCAATGCAGATTCAGGAGGAGGGGGTTCAACACAGGAAAATTGTGCCTGCCTGCCAGTTGCATGGGAGAAGGATTCTACACAGGGAAAATGGCAACTCTCTCTCCACTCTTCACACTGCAGCCACACAACTCAGTCTCTCCCTGTGTGTCTCTGACACCTCCAGGGTAACTGTCCCTGTATAGGAGCTCAGGGTGAGTGCCTGTGAGCAAGTGAGTCTGTGCACTGGTGTTTTAAGAGGATGTCTGGGTTTCCTGCAGTCTCCTATCTTGCCCAGAAGGGCAGAATCCACACTGTTTTCCACAGCCAGATGTTGTGCGGGCTCCTCTTCTCGGCACTGGTATTCTGGGCTGGGGAACCCAGTGTGGGGCTGGGGTCCCTCACTCTTCATACATTGACATGATATCCCTCCTGATCCTGAACCATCACACTCATGTGTGGGGTCAGCCTGTTTCATGTCTGTACCCCTCCTATCAGTTTTGATGGGACTTCTTCTTTATATCCTTAGTTATAGGACTTCTGTTCAGCCAGTCTTCAGATGGTTCCCCAGGTTGACTGTTCTATAATTTAGTTGTAATTTTAATGTGATCATGGGAAGAGGCAAGTACAATGTTTATCTACTCTGACATCTAGTCCCTCTCTAATAATACATTTTTTTTAGTAGTTTTTTTCAAAGAGAGTTTGTGGGTGGTAAACTCCCATGGTTTTTGTTTATCTAAAAAAGTCTTTGTTTCCCTCCATTTGGAATTATAGTATAGGTACATTTTTCTTCCTTCCTTTCTTTCTTCTCCCATGCCCAGTTATTTAAACAAATAGAACAGTGGCATGGTGGAACCCATTTGTACTGGCACATGAGAAACAATTGTCTTTATTGCTTCCCAAATCAATGTTCAGTGACACTTAGCTTGAGACTGGATGATGGAAATACCTACATCATGGAAATTTCCAAATGCTGCGAATCAGAGTTTTGTTTTGTTTTTGGTTTTGAGAGCTGGTCATTAAACATTTGCCAGCACATTGCTGTATATTGAGCACCTACAACATACCAGGGCTTGTTTTAGTTGTGTGATCCATCAGAACACAAAACAGATAAAAATCCTTGTTTTTAGAAACATATAGTCTAGTGGACAGAAATAGCAATAACTAATTAATTAAATAGATAAATAGTTAATAGTATTTTTAATGATCATAATGCCTGTGGTAAAATATAAAGTTGGGGAGGGGATAAGGAGTGTTGGGTGGTGGGCAGATTTGCAAGGGAAGTCTCACCAGGAAGGTGTTATCTGAGCAAACTCTGAGGATGTGAGGGAACAAGGTCTACAGATATTTGGTGGAAGAGTGGACTAAGGAGAGGAAACAAGAGCAAAGCCCTGAAGTGGGAGGGTGTCCAATACCTGATGTGTTCAATGAACCTGAAGGAGTCTATTGTGCTTGAGTGAGATGAAGGTTGAGGATGTGATGGGGAAAAATACTTTGAGATAAATTCAAAGAACAAAAATCAGTGCACATAAGGTAATGTCATTCAAGGTAAAGACTTAGCTTTTTTTTCTGAATGATATGGGAAGATACTGGGGGGGTTTGGTAAAGAAGTATTTTAAATCTGTCATAGATTTAAAATAACCACTCTAGCAGCTGTGTTGAAAATAGACTGTAAGCCTTAGTGACATGATTAACCAATAGAACATGGCATAAGTGATGTTCTAGGACTTTCAAGGATTAGTGATAAGAACCCTTGCAGCTTCTGCCTGGGCCTCTGGAATATTTACTTTGGGCATTAGCGACCATGTAAGTAGATCTAGGACTCTGAGACTACCATGCTGTAAGGCACTTAGAACCCTTCATAGAAATTGAAATGAATTACTGGCTCTTACCTGTAGAGTCATGTTAGCCTAGACACCAAACCTGTAAATGAATAAGCCTTATATGCCTTGTGCCTCAGACTGCCCAGCTGAGCATGTCACCCCCAGAACAGTGTTAGAGAATAATAAACTGTTATTTTAAGCCATTGGTTTTAGGGAAGTTTATTAAGCAACAATAGGTACCGTATTTCCCCATGTATAAGACGCACCCTTTTTCGAAAAATTTGGGGTCTAAAAACTGGGTGCATCTTATACAGTGGTTGTAGATTGTTTTACTTGAATTTCCCGCAAGTGATGAGGAGTTGTATGAATTTTATAATGAATAAAACTTGAGTTCAATAATTTATGTAATGCATTTTTTTCAAATTTCAGGCCCCAAAATTAAGGTGTGTCTTATACATGGGGAAATACTGTATATTTAAAGCAATAAGGCATATGAGCTCATGAGAGAGTGAGAGGCGATAAAGGATGAGATCCAATAATTGAACACTAATGTGTTCCACCATTTAGCTGTTGGAGAGATCATGAAGAACAAACCAAAAAAATATCAAAGGCAAGACTGACAGTTATTTTCCTTCAGTGCTTTAAAGATTTTACTCCATTATCTTAATCTTTTTTCTGGAAAAGGTAAATCTCCTGTCACTCTTGGTATTTCTTTTAAATAATATATCTTTTCTCCTAGCTTTTAAGATTTTCTATTTTTTTTATATTTTTTAATTCCACTCTGTAGTTAAGTATGAATTTATTTTTAATTTATCTTAGAAGTTGGAGTCCATGTTTTATTTGAGGACATATGTTTTCAATTTTGGAGAAATTCCAGTCATTAGTTTGGCAAAAATTTCTCCTTTACTCTTTGCTGTAGTCTGTGAGATTCCTATTAGAGATATGTTGACATCTCTCAATTTTTTTCTCCATGTCTCTTACTACTCTAGACATTTGTAGGCATGTGTGCGAGTGTGTGTATGTATGTACATGCACATATGTGTATGGGTATTTGTATAATTTTTTTCTTCACTGTTGTGCTTTGGGTGAATCCTCAGACTATTATCTGATTAACTAATTCTTTCTTCAACTGTACTCTTTCTCAAATTCATCTTATTCATTGATTTAAAAAGTTTAATGTTT